AATCTGCAGGTGCCGCAAGTCAAGTCAATACACCAGCTACAACACAGACAAGTCCTGCCAGGTATTTCACTTTCCGACGTCATGAACGAGCTCAAAAAAATGAGTCCAAAAGCGTGTCATACATATCCTCCTCCAAAAGATGTATCAAGCCTCCAAGGCGACCGTTTCGTTCGCGATTTCATCCAAAAATGCCACCTCATGTCCAAAAGGTGTTATTCGCAGGCAACTTCCTTCGCAAGTCCAATCCTCCAAATAATACACGCTCACACGCCCATCCCAATGTCACAAAGACATTTACTTTCACCACAATTCATGACCTCACGTTTCTCTTGCGCCCGCCACAAATCTTTCCACGTCCAACGCGTACAACATCCCACGCCCACCACGACACACAACTTCTGTGCATGAGTTCGACAAAAAAGGCAAAAAGGAAAAAAAGAAGGCAGATAAGACCGAGAGAGGGAAAAAAGAAGGAAAACAGGGGAGACAAACAGACACAGAAGGGAGGAAGACAAGACGGATGGAAGATAAAAGGAAAAGGACGAACACGGGACGGACACAGTGAGCAACAAGAAGGGTCACAAGACTGGAGACAAAGGAAGACAGAAATGAGACAATCACGAACCAGGACGAACAAAGAAGGGAGACAAGAGGAAACAGAAGGGGACAAAACGGAGACACTGACGAAAAACAAAGGGGAAACCAGCACCCAAACATTTTGACCTTCATTGACGTGTGCAGATGAATTCTTGCCCTGGCTCCAAAATCTCACCCCACTCGTTCCTTGCCGGTTGATCCTTCACCGTAAACCTGTTACCATTACTTGGGTTGGAACCGCAGCATTCACCAGCCCCTTGTGATCAGAATTAGGGGTTCTGAATTCTTCTTTATGGATTTGGGCCCTTTCTGTCACAGCGGGCAAGTTGCAAAAAACTTCCGAACTGCCAGTTATCCGCCACTGAGACCTCTGAGGCCAATGTGCTCCTGCACTCTTGTTGGCATCTACATATACGTAAACTAGAGCTGCTGTATTCTGCAACCTGTTCACTCCAAGTTTTTTGAATACCAGATGGACACTGATTGGTTTTCCTGTCAGAAAACATTCAAAGCATTTAATTTATGAAAGCCACACTCAATGGTGGTACCCTCAACCCCATCATCAAAAATTAAAAGGCATCTACACCTATTGGCACATTATGGTTTCTGTAGACCCGTTCACACTTTGGAGCAAAGGTTTGTTCCTGTGTTAGCATGTTCAATGCTTGCATCTTGGGCCACTTCTTGCATGCTGGGCGGGGCAATCCAAACCAAGTCCAAGGCAATGTCGTCACGAAGCTTGAAATTGGAGTTGCGATGGTCCCAGCCCGTGTTGATGTCGAAGCTGAAGACTGTGTGGCCTCTGCGCTGCATCTCCATCGAAAGACCAGCTTCTCCAGAGTGTTCTTCCGAAAAGACTTTGGCACGTTGTTCATGTGCTCAGTTCGTCTGTGAGCAAACATTTTTGCATGGTGCGCACAAATGCCTCAACAGCTTGTCGGTGATTTCTTTCCTCACCGCCACCATCCGGTAGGTCTCGGTGGTGACCAGGTTGAAGAAGACATTCTCGCCCTTCGGATGGGCATGTATTCCATCATTCAGTTGAAGTAAATATTCTCCTCTCTCCCCATAAACGGCAGACTACCATTCAACATCCCCACAATTGATAAGGTCTTGGCCCCAATCCACCTTCACCTTGAGCGATTTCAAGATGGGCCTTCCAATATGGAGAGGTGCAGCACCTGTCCACCAGGAAGCATTCAATGCGGCCGCATCGCATCGCCTCCAAAGACAAAGAGCTTGGTGGTCTGGTGGAAGGTGTAGCGCTCCAAGGGCAATCATTTATCATACATGTATTCGATGATGATTATCAGCGTTTGTTGGCCACAGAACATGCTGCTTGCTCCTCTATCTTGAATGCCACACCATCCTTGCTCAATCAACATGGGGTTCCCCGTTCTGGTTGAGGTCGTGCATCATGAAAGCTTGCCCAGTGTTCTTGGTGGCAGTCTCCGTTTTCGCACGCTTGGGGGACTGTGAACCCTTGTTCTGAGGGCAATTGGCAGCTGCATGCCCTTGCAGGGCCACGGCGGGATAGTAGTTTCGTGCAACCAGGTGGGTCGCACAGGCTTCTTCCAGCTGTGGGTTGAAGTCATCCGTCCATGGCTCCTCCTGGTAGTAGAGCTCATCATCCGGGCTGCCCCAGGTGGTTTCAGGATCCTCATACTTTTCAAAGAGCTGTTCATCCTCATAGCTCGTCCTCCAAAAGATAGGCATCTTCATTTTCCTTGGTGTCCAGATCACATTCTTCAGTAGTGGAGCCATATTGAGGCTTCCGGGATACCATCTTTGTTGCTTTTTGACGAGGTTCATGGCTTTTTCCACCTTAATCAGCTCCAGTGTGCTTCCCACCTGTGATTGTACAAGATATTTCTATTCTTGCGTCAAGTTGCTTCTTCGAAGAAACATCCATCCGATCCGGAGACACCGTCAGGTTTTTTGACCCCGTATTTTTTCTATCTGCAATAAGAAAGGAAGGATTGCTTTGACTTCCTGCCTAAGCCGTCGGAGGCCTCGGAAACGGCCTTAACCATATGTTCCACTTGCTTCCAGGCCGTGCCATACAAACTCGTGAGCAAATTCGGAATCGCCTCCTTATCCGTGCCTTAGATAACAAGTTTCTTCTTATACAGCATAATTCGTTATTTCCATTCTCTATAATTCGCCACCTTGTTGTTGAAGATGAGGATAAAAGTGTCTTTTATGGTCTCGATGGTGCCACCAGCCATGGAAGAAGTAATCGAAAGACCACTCGTTATAGATCGTCGGTCGGCTACAGCTCACAGCCTTTTCGGCGTCGGAGTCGTTAGTGGCCTGCCGCTAGGTTTAAAGCGAGCAAGTTATATGGCGCACAATTCACAAAATCTAACAAAGAATGCTAAGAAATAACAAAGAATGCTAAGAAATCAGTCATAATCAAAATCCGAGAAAAAATACTAAGTATAAATAATCGTAGTAAAAAAAGTAATTAATTAATATAAAATCCTAAGAATTTTTATTTAACAAAGAAAAAAAAAAAATAATATAAAAGAATACTATTCATTCAAATATATTTTTTATACATTTTTAATATATATATTTCCATACTTAAATTATATATTTACACTTAAAAACTAACACTCAAATACTTTCATATTTTTTTTTAAATACTTATATTTATATAATTTAATTTAAAAATTTCAATATCATTATAATAAATATAAAAATTCAATATTCAAAAAAAGAAAAATAACATCTTTCATATTATTTTCGAAAATTAATTAAACCATTCAATTTTATAGAAAAATATATTAAATTATACTATATGCATTCTCAATAAAAATAAATAAAAAATAAAATATATTATATTAAATAATATCCAATTTAATTTTAATTTTAAAATGAATTTTCCAATTTTAATTAATATGGATATACATATCAAATATATTAACTAATAATATAATCTATATAATCAACACATTAATTATAATACATATTCTTAGCATCAAACATATTAAAAATAAAAATGCTCTAAGCCCCGGACGGATATGCAAACGTTTGCCGAGCTCATTAAACTAGCAGTCGAAGAAATCCATATTACCAATGAAATTTCAACGTTCATCAAATGGATCCATTGTCATGGACGTGACCGTGTGTCCAAGTGTGCGTCCCATGCATCAAGCCGGGGAATATGAGCTTTTCGAAAAAGGTCTAAGATCTCATCCGTTGCCTCCCTTTCTATTAGCCTCGGAACCCGATCTTTTTCAGCCTTTGTTTCCAGGTGCTCCCATCACAAAAAGACAATCCTTTCCTGATTTCGGCGAACTTGTTGCGGTGGATACTACAGGGAGCGTGCGTATTTGTGAGGGGCCGGTGGCACAGTACAATTGCATTCATGAAGTTGAAGCCCGCAGAAGAAAAGGTGACTACGGCTGCCATGGCAAGGGTACGCTAGCAAATTAATAAAACCTATGGAGATGGGAGGACTGCATTCATGAGGAAGAACATCTGCAGACTTCGCAGCAGAACTGCCGCAGGCCGAAGCTGAAGCATTCTGGCTGGGGACAAAGGATTCGCGGACGATGAAGGTAGAGTAGAGACCGTGCACAATGTCGGAAGACAGCAAGGGCATTGGGCAAACAATCCGCTGCCTGCCACTTCAAGTCCAGCAAGGGCAAACGATGGATGGATCTCATGGTGATCTCCCCACGCACTGCAGCTCTCATCAACACATGATCATGATTGACCCCGACATTCTGCAGCGTGTATTCGGCCAAGATGGCTCCTCCGAACCTTCAACGCAGAACCTGAGCCTCGTGCTTGGAACGTTGCTGCAAAGAACTCTGAAGGCCTTGAGGATCGAAATGCCGCCTTCTATTGCCAATGTGCTGACGGGAAGCCAGTGAGCCGCCTGGAGAGCTGGGCCGCGAAGACCTTTCCTCTCGTGTTTGCCGCAAAACTGATGCTCTGCAAGCTTGCCCACCTCACCACCATCCCTCGGCAGAGCAGTTTGGCTCAGTGACCAAATGCCTTCCTGAGCAACGGAGAAATTCTGCCATCGCGGGCAGTCCACTATCGACAGGCTTCGAAAGTGGCAGGGATGCAAGGCAAAAAATGATTGAGGGTTCCCTCGCAGAGAGACGTTGCTCCGCTGCCAATGTAAAAATGACCTCGTGCGGATGTTTTCTGCTGCGCGAGCCACGATAGTGGCACGGAGTTTTGATGGGCTGGAGTGACATGTGATTGGATGTCCATGCTGCTCAAATCCTTGATTTCACAGTGGACAAGTGCAGGTCTTGGATTGACATGGGCACAGTTTTTTCATTGTCTTTGGTCTTGGTGGATTTTCTTGCTTTTCTTCCCAAACAAACATTTTTATCTGCCTCTTATGAACCATGCCAGACTCTCCCAAAACTACTCTTTTTGTCTGCTCAAAACAGCATGGTGCCCTGGTCTCTTTCGCGCTGAGCCTCAGTGCCAAGCAAAGCATCCTGGAAGAAGGCCGAGTGGGTTGGAGGCCATCGCTTCTAGGTTTCAGGCCATCGCTATTAGAAAGAAAAAACAATGAAAAGGAAGAAGGTGTCAGTGGTAGGGAATCTACCGCCTGAAGCACCCGCGGCCTTCCACAATCAACGCAAGCTAGGATAAGGTAATGTCTGTTATTTGGGCGCCCCGCATTCTCCATGTGCTGGTAGATAATGGTAACGGCCAACCTGATTGATTCAGGACGAGCTGCATCACAAAACAAACTCTCACCTAAACAAGAAAGCCAAGAATGCATTCTTGCAATGCCGATAAACGCTGATGGGGACCTCGACCATTTTATTTTCAAGAATGTTGGGCTGCCAGGTCAATCTGCAAATTGGCTGAAGACATAGATCTAATTTTGACTGAAAGCATTGGCGATTAGGCCCTTTAGCTTTGCCATGGCAACTTTAACTTTAGTTCCACAAACTCCTTGGAGCCTTGCAGGATGCCAGTGCCGCTGCCAATGGCACCCATGAAATCTGCGACGATGGTCAACATGCCTCGGTCATGGGACATGATGGCCACAGCACCACAAATACAAGGCCTCCAACCTAAGAGCCATGGCCTCCAACCTGCTAGCAATGGCATGTTATCTGCTTTTGGTTTCTTTGGACCTCTAGACATTTCACTTTAATTCTTTCCGCGTCAAGCAAGACTGTTTAGACTGTTTGATTCGATTGCTTTCTCCCCTTCTTTTCTAACAGGGCGCTCCTGTGAAATCTGGCCACTTATGGGCCATACCATCTCTGCTCTTTTGGCAGGAAGCCAAGGCCAACCTGAACACATGTTCAGTCCATCCTGGAGTGCGCCACGGCCAAAATTTCTGCCTAATACTAGGCTCCTTCACTCTCAATGAACTCTGCTGCATCCTCTGCAGCTTCTTCGCCTCCTCCATGACAAACATCGAACACACAATCAGCAAAGACCTCCGAACTCTCCTTAGTTCAGAGTGAGATTCAGAACCAACAGAGAGTGTCACAAAAACAACTTAAACAGCCAAGAAATACACCTTGCAGCCTTGCAGTGCATGATTCGGCCATGTGTTTCCCACAAATCTTTGATGCTTCTTGTTCTTCTTCTTCACTGCAATCGTGATGATCATGGTGATCTTCCGGCACACTCAGCAATGATGCTTGGTCCATTGAACGGAGGTAGTCTGAAGCATTTTGACTGCCGCCCAAGTCTTGCCATCCCTGGGCAAATAAACAGGCTTGCTTTGCCCTCAAGCCCAAAGTGATCCTTAAGTTTCCCTAAAATCTAGGAACCAAATGAATAGTGCGAGCGCTTCTTCAAGGGGAAGCTTCCTTGAAGAAGCGTGAGCTATCCTGCGTCCATACTAGGAGCTTAAGTAAGGTACTATAGCTACCTCTTCTATTAGCTACTTCTAGCTACTACGTCCCTCTACGGCCTGCCCCGCCTACCCCCCCACGGCCTTAAAAAATTCACTGTTTCACTCCGAAAGCCGAGGTGCTGTGGGAGTCTGAAATTCCGAATCTGTCCTCATCTGCACGAATCTCTTTTTGGAGTGAGATAAGAACCTGAGCGAAACAGCGCAATTTCCGCCAAGTTTGGCAAAACTTGGTCGTTGGTAGGTCAAATTGTTATTAGGGTGAAGGCCATCGCTACTAGGTTGGAGGCCATTGCTACTAAGTTTGGCCCAAGGAACAAAACCTTGCTGTGATTGGTGTGGTTTGCAGGGCCTTCGACAGAGATATGCTGCCCCAGTTCCCCGCCAGCAAAGTCCATGTCAGACTTATGAAACATCTTCATTTTGAAGTCCAAATGCCTCCCTGGGCGGCAGATCACAGAGAGGAGAGCCACTTTCCTTGCACCCTGCTTGGTGTTCATCTTCCTCAGGTCTAAAAGGATTCCCACAACCAGCTGTCAGTTGGACAAAAGATACTTCTTCACAGAGTAAAAAACATGAAAATTGCCCAATCCAATGCCTAGCTTCAACATAACACTGGATCCAAACTTTGGTCTTGTCCCATACTGCTTGTGCAGCTCTGTGATCTCAAAACCGCTCATGAAAGCGTTGTCGTAGAGCACGAACAAACTTCCAGATTTGGCTTCCTGCCTCGTGCCGTGCCGAAGCATCTAAAAACAACTTACCACGTTTTCCCGTGCCCCGGTATGCCCGGGTAGTTTTCAAAACGGATGGGCGTGGGGACAAAATTGCGTTGCATCATATTGCCGAACTGTCACACAACACATCTCAAGCAAGGCACCAAGCATGCTCTGGACTTTTCTTCTGACGCCATTTGCACGAATCCGAGGTCAGCTCCAGTGCTTGACGACTTGAATGGTTGGATCGGTCTTGCAATAGAAGCGCGTGAGTGAGGAACTTTTTGCCTGCGTAACGCGCAAAGACTTGCCACAAGATTGGAGCCTCCTGCAAACCACGTGCTGAATGAAACTCCGTCCTTGGATTTTCGATACTTTAGTCCGGTTACACCCGCTATTGTTGCCCTAGCATCGCTAGGCCACGCACCACCATTAAAAACAAAACAATGAGAAAACATGTGTTCGAACACTAATGAACTCTTGCTTCTGGACTGTACGCTTTCTTTCGACAAATTGCACTTTCAAGCTGAGCATCTTCTTGCTGAAGTTGAAGGCCAAAAACGTCCCGACGTTCGCCACCGTATAGTGGGCTCCCTGAAAGGTCTCTATGTGTGGATCACCCTGCCCAGTGGCAGGTGTGAGGTTGCTTGCAGGGATGTCTGGAGGCGGCGCCGGCGGCGTCTCAGGGCAACACTCAATTAGCAGGTTGTAATTGCCTCGAAACTTGCGGAGAATGTGCAAACATTTTCTTTGTGTACTTTGTTTGTTTTCTGAGAACTTGATATATATGACTAGGGAATATAGTGCACTCAGGTGCGCACTCATACAACGAATTGTTGCGGCTGGTCGGAAGGTCTATTGAGAAACACAACAAAGACTGCCGCAAAACAAACATTTCACGGCAAAATTGTTCATCCAAATGACTGATTCCGCAGCCAGCTGTCGGCCGTGAGATGCAAAACTGCGTATTCTGTTCCATACAAGTATCCACGTCACGACATTCCTGCAGACCATCTGGAGAGGTACGGCAACCTGAAGCTCTTCGACTTCAGCATCGAGACTTCAAAGGACAAAGATCCTGAATTCTACCCTTCTACTCTGCTACATGTAAATCAGCATCTTCATGTTTTTCCGCCCCGGTCAGGTGATGGTTGTCAGATTTTATGTCAGCTGCATTCTGCCTCGCCCGCCTCGCCCGCCTCCTCCTCACCTCAACCGCGAGGGCCGTGCGGCAGTGTCCCCCCGCCAGACCTCAACTGCAAGGGCCGCATGGCAGTGTTCCGCGTTGGACCTCAACCGCGAGGGCCGCGGATCTCAACCGCGAGTTCCGGCTGGCAGTGTCCTGCGCCGGACCTCAACCGCCAGCTCCCGAGCGCACTGGGCGCTGGCACACCTCAACCAACACACAATCACAAACGCACAACCACAACCACAACCACAAACACTTCCACAAACACACAATCACAAACACAACACACAACTGACATGTCATGGTGGGGATCACTCGAAGTAAAGCAGTTATTTTACTTCATCCTGCCAAGGAACTCTGGTAGTAACAGAATGTTCCTCCAATGCACCCCTCACTCTGTTCGCTACCTCCTTTGACACAGGCGCCGATGACCCTCACATTGGGGGGCGTCACAAAGCAAATCTGGTTTCGATCCTGTGATTCGTCAGGGACTTCTTCGAACTTGCAGGTGGTCAGTGGCACTCCTCACGCGGGGAGAAGAAGGGTAGCTGGAGGCCATCGCTACTAGGGTGGAGGCCATCACACCACTAGGGTGGAGGCCAAGGCCATCACACCACCATCGCTACTAGGGTTTTACTTGTAGCTGGAAAGCAGGAAAGCCCTCGTGCTATTCAAATTATGTTCTGCAACTGTTGTCTATAACATTTATTTGACTTTTTCAAACATCAATCAGTGTTTTTTTTCAAGAAAAGTCCGAAATCCTATGTGGGTGGGGCAAGAGGATGGACCACTTGCATTCCCAAACCAGCACTTCGCATAGTCCACCTGGTTGTCTTCAGAGTTCGTGCCTCGGTGTTCGAACGTCTTATTCGTCCTCCGAAAAGAAAGACTTGAAGAGTACAAACTTTGAAACCAAAAACAAGATGAGCAAAGTTGCATGTGCACGGCGTTCCAGTAAACGATCTTCCATTGCAGTTCATTGCATTTCCACCACCAATATTGAAGGGATCGTTGGTGCTGGCGTTGCAATTCTCACTGGCTTTGAAGACATTTGCCTCCATGTGGTGCAAAAGAAAAGCAACGGTTGAGAACTCACTTCTTGCTTCATGCGTTTCAAAGAGCGAGCGTAACGTTTTCATCAAAACAACCTGAACGACCAAATGACCCTTAATTATCTTGACAAGAGACCCCAAACAGTGTGAGCGAGGTCTGTAAGCAGAAAGTCTAGAGATCTAGACGCATTGGGGTCCAGAGAGGTGATGGTGGTGATGAAGTGAAGGTGGGTGTGAGTGAGTGTGGGTGAGAGGGAGCGTGAGTGTGCGTGAGAGTGTGGGTGAGAGTGAGAGTGAGAGTGAGTGCGAGTGTAAGTGAGCGTGAGTGAGAGTGAAGGCGGGTGTTAGTGAGTGTGGGTGAGAGTGAGAGTGAGCGAGTGAGAGTGGGAGAGTGAGTGTGAGGGAGTGCGAGTGTGAGTGAGAGTGAGTGTGGGTGAGAGTGAGTGTGGGTGAGAGTGTGAGAGTGAGAGTGGGAGAGTGAGTGAGACTGAGAGTGGGAGAGTGAGTGAGTGTGATAGCATCTGACAGCACAAAGTACTGCGCACGAAATCTGCACTTCGAGGTTCACCAAGTGCTGCGCCTGCCACGAAATCTGTACCTCGGGGTTCACCAAGTGCTGGACCTGCCACGAAATCTGCATATCGAGGGTCACAGAGTGCTGTGCCTGCCACGAAATCTGTACCTCGAGGTTCACCAAGTGCTGCACCTGCCACGAAATCTGCACATCGAGGGTCACAGAGTGCTGTGCCTGCCAAGAACTCTGCACTTCGAGGTTCACCAAGTGCTGCACCTGCCACGAAATCTGCACTTCGAGGTTCACCAAATGCTGCGCCTGCCACGAACTCTGCACTTCGAGGTTCACAAAGTGCTGGACCTGTCACAAAATCTGCACTTGGAGGTTCACCACGTGCTCCACCTGCGACGCTGCCACGAAATCTGCAAACGAGCCACATGTCCAAAAGTCGCGATTCACTGCACCTGTCACGAAATCAGAGCTCTTCGACGATCACCACCATATCCAAAGCACTGCGCCTGCCACGAAAAGTGCATTTCGAAGTAAATCACCTCCGATCCCTTGCACCTGTCACGAAAAGCCGACTTTGGAGCACCAAAACACGAGGTTTCCCTTGCGCCTGCCACAAAAAGTGACCACGATGCGCGAAAATGCGCGCGGCGCCACAACGAGAGCGCAGTC